TAGTAACAGTGCCAAAACTGCCTCAAAACGGACTGCTCCGTTCTCTCTCTCTCTCTCTCTCTCTCCCTTCCCTCTACTCTTTAGCCCCTCTCTCTCTTCCTCTTCTTCTTCTTCTTCTTCTTCCCTCTTTAAGTATCGATGCTCCCGTGCGGATAACCACCCATCCCAGACACGTGCCCTCTATCCGCCTTCTTACTTACCTTCCTTCCTTCGACCACCGTCTCCATTCTGCACCCAGCCCATCCACCCGATCGGCTCGCTTCTCCCCGCTTTTCCAACCTCCCCGAGTGGCACTACACGTTAACGTGACGGCCGAGACAACAAGTGTCCGAGGATCGCGTGATCGCACCGGGTTCATCGCACCGATAGTTAGTACGCGTCCTATTCCTCGAGTACGTGCCTTGTACCTGTGGATGTACCTGTTCGCCAGTGGCGTGGATCGTCGTCATCGTAATCATCGTCAACTACATCGTCATCATTATTATCCTCGTGGAATCGAGTCAGATCAGGCCAGAGGAGGAAAGATTCGGGGATTGAAAGATTCGAGTGGTCGAGTAGGACGAATGTTCGTCGCCCATCGTTGTTGTCGATTTACGGCAAGGAAGAACGATCCTTCATGTTGCCAGAAAGCAAGTTTCCCGTCACAGGTAAATTCGAACGATAGAAGAAGCGGCGGCGTGCGTTGTGCGAGTTGATGGTGTAACCGGGCCAGTGGATCACGGTCCATCCGAGCACCCTTTTCAATATTTCACTCTTTCTGCTTTTCTATCTCTTTCTCTCTCGAGTTCGAGTTCAATTTTTCAATACGACTCGATCCATCGAGATCGAGATCGAGAAATCACCACGATATCCCCTCGATATCGCGTCGCCTTGACATATTCCTCAGCATTGCAGCTGACTTACCGTTTTTAACCTACTTGCGCCCCTGCCAATTACAGTCCAAACGCATGCTCGGCCGCGTGTGCGGCCACGAATCCGTCTTGTCCACTTGTTGCCCGTAATCCCGTACGCACACGCTTCCCCCATGGACGCGATTCCCACCTCTCCTCTCCTTCGTCCTTATACCAATTGTCGAATTATCATTTCCAATACCATTTTCCACGTTAAAGAATAATAATAATAATAATAATGATAATATCAGGTTTCCATTTTGCACCCATCCGACCTTGGATAATCAAAAAATTGCATATAGCACAGTTTTTGCAGTCGAAGATAAAATTGAGTCGTTCTCCAATTAGCGCCAATAATTGATTTCACGAACGTCCTATGGGACATTGGGTGTCAATTTGTCTTGGAAGGAGGTTTTGGAGGAAGGGAAAATTCTCGTAGAGGCAGCACACCCGGGGTTAACCGGCGCGGCTGGTTTTAGTCAGGTTGGGCGTAAATGGATAGTTAGGGGAGCACGAGGCAGAGAGCACGAAAGTGTCTCAACGGGCGTAGTCGTAAAGATACACCGCGGTGCTCGGCCCCGTCATCCATAATCCCAAATATGGAGTGAGAAATTTGAGAGAACCGAAAATAGTGGCGCTACGCCAACCGCTAAAAATAGCCAAAAAATAAATTGTAGTTACGCGGCCGCCTGCATCATTCTATAACTGGTCTTCAATGAATCGGGCCACCTCCCTCGCACACGCCGTTATTAATACACCATCACACGTATACACCGGGTCGGTAAGCTATATTGCTCCCGTTTTTGGACCGAGTTTTAGCGGCGAGAGTCGAGTTTGGGGATCGTTTTACGCTCGAGCCAGCCTTCCAAGCTAGAATGTATATATACAGGGTGTTAATAATACTCGAAATACTGTTTGAGTAATTGTATCGAAGTAAGGTGTTACACCCGGATGAGAATTTTAAACAGATGTTATTTAATTGCATTGGGAAAATAATAATGGTATCTTTTCACTTGGTAATTTTTGTATGTGTATTTGTGAGACAGTTTCGAAAGGAAAAACGCGATCAGAGATCGTTTATTAAGTATAAGGGATATTGAAATTTGCATCAAGTCGAGAAAAGTAATTCGTTTCGAATTGATCCTTCAAAGGTATTCCACGAATGTGTCGACACCTTGTATAAAATCGATTCGGATTGAATTCTCTTTTCGCTCGTGTTAGGCGTGTTTTATGTCCGTCGGCGATGTGGGTGGATAAAAGCCGAGGCGGGACTTTCGCTTCGATTAATCTAACTCGCGCGACGCTGCACCGTTTAATTTTAAATGACACGTGTCCGGGGTTATTAGAACTTTTGTTGCACGTGCCGCGAAGGAATTGCTAGCTTCGAATCGGATAATTCTTTTAAGATGAAAAATCTTCGATTTCTTGAATCGAGGTCGTTGCAATTTTCATTGCATAATATTTATAAGGAGGTGAATTATTGAAAGATAATGTTTTAATTTATTTCTTTCTTTTTTTTTTTTAGTATTATTGAATTTGAAACGAGTCAAATGAATTGTTTGCCTGAAAAGAACGGAAAGTATTATTTATAACGGAGAGGTGATATAAGATGACATAAATATACAATTTATATTTGGTACAAGATTTATTGCTGACGTAAATGAATTTATTTTTGTTTTTAGATTAGAAGGATCATTGTCACAATTATTCTCGATACAAAAATAAATTCTTTCATGTAAAAAATAAATAAACCATGAAAATTCTAAAATCTTTGAGAATAGAGTAGGTCACGAAATTTAGAATGTTTAAACGAAATAATAAATTTTAATTGTTTTGATTCTATTAATTATACGTACGTTAAAAAAAACTTGTACGATACAAGTTAAAATTTTATCATTAACGTAAAAAATAAATAAAATTTAATTATTTTTCTCTCCCAAAATTTCTCCAATCGTGCTTTATTTATCCAATTTTACGTACACGAACAATATCGCAATATTCACGTATAAAAATTATGAAAATTTTTATCGCATAACCTTTTTTTTTTTTATTTTATTTCATTTCTTTCGAAACTCTTTTTATTTCCTTCGACCGTTTCACATTCGCTGTATTCAAATTTCACGTTCCATGTTTGGCTCTGGTTCCACAATTCGAACATTGTTGCACCTAACCTCGACAAATGGATGGTGTACAACTCGTGAAACCCGATCGACTAAGGCCAAGTACGGTCCAGCAATTGCGGGTGTTGGGTGGATCGTACTCGTGTCCGTGTTTCTATTTTCGAGCGTGAATATTTTTATCCGACAGTGGCTGCAAACTCTCTATGTTACAATACTCTTCTTCATCTCTCCTTCATCAGCTTACACTCTCTTTCTTTCTCTCTCTCTCTTCCATTTCCTTCTCTTTTTTTCCACATCTCTCATTTCCGCTCCCGTTCAAGAGTTACGTCTTTCTTTGATATCGTCTCGTCGCGACGATCTCGTTTGAACGTCGTCCACGGTCGAATGGTACACGTAGTCTCCCCTTTGCTTTACAGATAGTCGTCCATTATCAATTAATCATTATTTCCTTTCGTTAAATTTATCCCGCTTTGAAACGTGCGGGATGCCAGAAGATCGATGACGGCTCAAGTTTGAGGTTATGTGCGAGATCGACGAAGGTTTCAAACGCAGTTGAATTACTCGCGTTATATCTTTAATACGTGTTGAATACGTGTCTTCAAATTTATTAATTTTTTTCTTTGATCATTTTATAAATAAAATTTCATCGATTGGAACTTCAAAATCACTTTAAAATTATAATCTTCATCTTCTTTTTTATCTTAAATTTATTACTTTCATCTGACTAAAAGATTTCTTTTTCTTCTGAATAATTCATGCTCTTTTTAAAATTTTCTATTTTAAAACTAAAACTCTTAACCAAAAAATTTCTTTTTCTTTCTTTATACTCGCAGATTAAACGATATTTTTATCGCGTGTAAATATTGAAATTTCCTAACCTAACTTTCCTTTTTACCTTAATCAAAATTTTTCTTTTCCCTTTTTTACCGACACTCGCGCACAAATTTACAATGTTTTCGCAAATACCTTCCATGTCCTTCTATTTCTGCGTTTATTATTACACGCGTTAAACCATGATACTATATTTATACGTAGCGGATCGACGTTTCGATGAGCTTAAAGGAGCATTACGAGAAAATTATACATGACAGGTGTGTAGAGGCGAGTTGAAAAGCATTCCTAAGCCGATCTTCGAGTCGTGTAATACGCGGCAGCTGTCCGTTTCCCTTTTTATACGATTTCGAAGCCTTGGACACACTGTGGCCGTCGCGCCCACATGTTAAAACTAATCTAACTATGCTGCAATTCTCCCGCACAATCTGATGACAATCTGCATGTGGGCATTTGTTTGGTTTCTTCCATTTCTCACGGCTGTTACGCGTGTTCTACGATTAGAAACCGCGTGGAAACACTGGACGAACGTTTATGGTTAATCGGACATTGTTTCATTAAAATGAGAAGGTTATGAATATTCCGCAATATCCAGGTTGCATGGTGGCGGCGCTAATGTCAATGCGGTGCCCACGCATAACCTTTACTTCGGATAATACGAATCTATATACATATGATTTAGAGACGAAACGGAAAGTTAAAATTCGTTGGCGCGAATGTTATGATGTTGCATGTTGCGGGCTGGCCAACTGGCTGTGAATTTGTAATAAATTTTATGCACTTTTGGCACAAAATTTTGTGTTCATTTCAACAAATGATCGATGATGGAATAAATGATATCGAATAATTAATTTACATTATCTATAGAATCTAGTAATTTTTTATCTTCTCGCGCAACATAAAAAAATTAATTTTATTTAAATAGTTTGATTCTCAATTGAAAAACTATTTTAGTAATTATGATAATTCATCGATTCCAACATAACCAATCATATTTGTTGTTCTAGGAATCATTAGAACCTTGCATTTATTTTATTTATATTTTTGAAGAATATTAGCAATGAGCATATTGAAAATCATTGCGTTTTAAACATTATTTTACTTATGATTAAATCTATTAATCGTTCGATTCTAATCAATTACTTTTTTGATGCTGTAGGGGGCACTATGCAGACCGAGGAAATCGTGTCTCGCACACAATCTACTGGTATAGACGGTGGCCCCACAGACAGCGCCTCTTTGCAGCATCATCTGCATCACACGTCGCACATAAAGTGTCCGTTGCCACCTCTGCTCCACATGGCAGTGAAGCAGGAGCCACAGGAGGAGGAGGAACGAAGTCGTGACACGAATGCGTTGAGGTGAGGCTACGATTATGGTAATCGCCACTTCCCATCTCCCTCGATCCTATCTTTACGCTTTCACTCGTAAACACCCATCTTAGATAGCATCGATCACGCTTTCTTTCGAATTATTTTTCCCTTTAAAAATGAATCATTGTGTTTAGGAACAAGGAAAATTTTATTTTACTTGTTACGTAGATAAGAATGATCGTAATAATATAGGTTATAATTTTAAATAATCCTTTTTTAAAGAAACCTAACCAAACTAAATGACTTTATCAAAATCAAATAAAAAATTACATTGTAATTATATACTTTGCCACATAAAATTTAGAAATTTGTTGAAATTCGAACGAATCGATTAAAATTGTGACTGGTTTGTGATTCCATGGTTTTGGCGGGAAATTTTGTAATAAACGAATATATATGCAAAATACTTGAAATTTCTTCGAAAATGATTATAAAACACGTTCGAAAAGATGAAACGTACATATTATCGCGAGTTTATGTCGAATCAACGTACCCAAACCGGGCCCACGAAAGAAAACATTAGTATTCCTCGAGCAAGGTAAACGCTCGTGCCGACAGCCCGAGTTGTGTTATTATCGTATCGGACATAAATCATATAAGAAAGGCATTAGTTATTATTATTATCGCGTGTTGCGCATCGTAACGAGATAAATGTATCTCGTCATAACGAAATAAAATAATACCTTGTCAGCCTGTTATTACGCGAAACGTAATTTTTCTCGGGTTGGACGATCCCGATGGCGCTTACGATGAACGACAGATTATTATTTTTTTCTTTTTCTTTTCAAAAATTAGTATAGCGAATACGATCATCTCGAGTCGCGTAAAAGTAATTTATACGTGTGTTCAGAGGAACGATGGAAACGTGAGCTCAGTAACGTCACAAAAGCTTGGATCACACGTGTTATTATACAAAGCCTTTTTTTTTATTATTCATTTTCTTAATACCCTGAAAAAATTTAAAATGAATGAAATTTCGTCCAAAATTAAACGGAGAATTTTAAACGTGGTAAGTCGAATTATAATAATAAAATCAATCGTCCCTTTTTATTTTTTCTTTTTTTTCAAATGTATTTATTCATTTGGTAGATATAATTTGGAGGAAAAAAAAAATTTTTGTTCACTATTATTACCTGCATTCAGAAGTGTATAAAAATTATATATAGAAATCGTAAAGGATAATAAAAGTTTTTTGAAAGGGATATTGTATCGCTTGACCACTTCGATGCGATTTATGACGTTTTACGGGCGTTTATATCGCGCAGAAAATTCCTTTATGCCCCTGAATATGTATCGAATAACAACTTTCACCCGATTACATCCACCACGTTTACTTTATTCGTATTTTTATTGCCAATTGTGAAATACGAATGCTTCCTTTTTTTTTTTTTTTTCTTTGCTCGTCGCGATTGAGAGAGATTGTAAAAAAATGATAAATTTGATAGTCCGCAAGTAGATGCAGACACCTCGCCGACGTCCGTCGATGGGAAACTCGGGCATGGACACGAAATGGGCCATCATCATCAGATCCAGGAGCTTGAGGAAACTCCGGGGCAGACTGTTGCCGATCTGAATAATCGAGGAAGGACGAGGTAAGTTTTGTTCGATCGATCAAATTTTTTTAATGTTTAATCATTGTACAATTATAATTTCGTTAAAGATCGTTAAATTTTAGAAGATTAATCATTGGAATTAATACTATTATTAATATATATATAAATAAAATTTATACATTAGAAGAATTATGAAATTTTAAAATAATATTTTAACTTTTATTCTCGCGAAAATTTATATGATATTAAAAACAAAATTCCTATTTCTCACAATTTTCACTCTATTTAAAAAAATATTTCGTTTCTTTAAAATAATCCTTTAATTTGTACAATGATTAAATTTAGACAGTTTACAATTCGAATAAACAAATAATACAAATAAATAAATTTTCGTATCAACGTTACGAAATTGAAAAATTTGTCTAAATTAATTTACATTACGAGACTTTTCATCTCCATTTAAATCTTTCCCCTTAGAACTTAAAAATTTTCATTCCATTTGCGCAATCTTTTCCTCTCTTCTTAATCGATTAATCATTTCCTTCTCGAACCTCCAATTATCCTCGCTCGTTTTATCCTTCTCATTCTCTCTTTCTCTCTCTCTCTCTTCCAACGACCCTTTCAACTCGTCTCGTTTACAGCCGCGAAAGAGTTTTAGATAAGCAAGAATGGATTCAGCGAGAAACTGGTTCGTTCCAAATGAACTCTCTCCCGCGTTCTTCTCTGAAAAAAGAAAAAAAGGAAAAAAAGAAGAAAGAAACAGAACCTCTTTGGCACGTCGACTCGTTGAAATGCCGCGAGTTGATTACCGTTACGTTGAATTTCATTAAAAAAAAAAAAAAAAAAAAAAAAAAAGAACCAACCGACAGTAGTAGAGAAGAGGAGCGCGGGACACTCTCTATGCATAATGTACATGTAAGATGGAGTGGCTCGATGGTGTAAATCGACGTGCGCGTCGAGGTGTGGTTTGGAATGCAGTTAGGTGGAAAACAACGTTAACGAAAGCCTCGTATCGCCGATGTAATTATTAGTCGATTTCCATGCGATTCTCTACAGTCGCGGAATACTTGATGAGAAATTAATTACGAATTAATTACGCGTAGGAACGATGGGTGGGATGGGGAGAATGCGGAGGATTCGGAGCTTCTTTTTTTTTTTTTTTTTTTTTCTTTTGGAATTTAATCAGTTTTCGCATATTTTTGCTTCCTTTCTTTCCTTTTTTTTTTTTTTATGTATAATAAAAATTTGTATAATTGTTTTCACATAAGTAAATGTAACCGTGTTAACAATTCGTATGCATCTTCAAGCTATATCTTTTTATTTTTGCTTAATTAGAAAAGTTGCAATAATTTTGTGCGATTCAACGAAGATGAATAGTCTCAAGGATTCTTTTCGACTCTTGGAAGTACGATTTTCTGTAATCTCGAGACATCAATGATAAATATATATCGTATTCCTAAAATTCGATCTCCAAAATAAAATAAAAGAAAAATTGCATCGAACGGTCCATTAAAACCCGGGACGTGGAAAATCTGTTGCAGCCGTGGGCGCAGGAAGTCGCGATGGAAGCTCAAGTTCCACCACCAAGCGTTGCCTCCGGAGTATCTGGACCACTACGAGGCATCCCTCGCCCAGGAGGCTCTGAACTCGTCGCCGACCCGACTGACGGAGCCGACCATAGCCAGCCCAGCGCCAACCAGCTCCACCTCGACGCCAAGCCCCATAGCCGACGTGCACGGTTGGTTGCAACGGATCGCCGCGATGCAGCAAGAGCTCTGCCCTCAGATCTCGTCCGGCCAGTGCTCGACGATGGGAGCACCTAACAACGCGCCGAATCAAGCGTCGGTCTCGAGAAGATCCGTGATCACGTCCACCTCCTCTCACCCGCTCAACACCACCACCACCACCACCACCACCACCACTACCACCACTACCACCACGACCCACCACCACAATCACAATCAACATCAATCACAACAATCCCCTTCCCAAGCGTGCCAAGCCAGGCCGCCCATGAAGTACTCGGATCTCCCTTACATGGGCGAGATCACGCTGGACAACAGCAAGCCGAGGCGAGGGAGGAAGCCGAAGAAGGCGGATATTTGCCACTTGATATACAAGAATTACGGGACCATACTGCCCGGAACCCCCGGCCACGAGGAGAGAAGGCTCTCCCCAAGGGGGGAGAAGCTTGGCGATTGCCGAGAGAGGATCTCCCCGCACGCGATTCCGTTCCAGAGGTCGGACGTGCAGAACAGGATCAGCAGCTTGTTGGAGAAGCGATTGACGCAGGAGTCGCGACGGACGTTCGACGTTGTTGAGAATTCGGGGACGAGGGAGCAGGACGAGCCTTTGAACCTGTGCATCAGGGATCTGAATCAATTGAAGATCAGATTGTTGAGGAAGCACGGGAACGTGTACGAGTCTGGACAGGTTAAGAGCGAGACGTCGAGCGACGGGGAGGAGGTCGAGTGCATAGGATCCACTTTCCCCTCCGAAACGAGCTATCGCCCCTTGTTGGATCCGTTGGTTGTTCGTAACAGTGGGAGCAACGTGAACCACAACAACAATATAATAGACCCTATGCTCGCTACCAATCCGGGATTCGTTTATTGGCCCAACGCGGGCGTGTTTATCCACCCGATGGCGCTGCAGTCGCAGCTGCTCTACTATCAAAAGATGGCGCAGAACGACAAGTGTTATCCGAGAGGTTTGGATCAAGGGCCGAAAGAGCAGAGGATCGTTCCTAAATCGATATACTCCATGATGGAGGCGAAGAGCCCACCTCTCGTTCCCGCACCACCTGCCACGGTTCAACCGTTGACACCCGTCCAAACGGTCCCCCAGGTCCAACCTCCTGTCTCGCCCAGGCCGAAGAGGAACGCGCCCGTTGCTCAAGCCCAAGGGCAGCCGACCAAGAGGAAACGTTCCGCCATATTCATACCGCCTATGCCCACGGAGAACAACAACAATCCCGCGACAGAGGTGAGCATATGCAAGTTCAAGTTCACAGGTGGGGCGAAACCTAGCCTCCAAGAGAAGAAGAGCCTGTCCGTCGATTCTGGGGGCAACTTCAGGTATTACAGCGGTACCGGGGACAAGAGTATGCGTGGATACGAGTTCTTCCCCCGCGAAGCTCTTCAACAGTCAGCCGGCCAGTCGGCCTCCTCGACAGGCGCCTTCCTCAACGCGGCCGGGGAAAGGATTCAACCGCCCCCCTGCCAGAGGAGCGGGGGCAACAACCAGGAGGAGGGTCGTCGCAAGAGGAAGACGCGAAAGTCGTTGCAGAGGGAGAAATTGGAGCAAACGTTCAAGGAGAAGGGGTTCCTGATCCAGACGCAGCAGTTGGAATCCGCGGAGGGCGCCACCTATTGCAAGTTTAGACAACTTAGAAAATTCACCAGATACTTGTTCAGAAGCTGGAAGGACTATCTGCCGGGGAACGTGCGCGAGTTGACCGGGGCAACGGACAACGAGATTGGAGACGGAGACGCGGAGAGCGACACGAACGTGTTACAGTCCCCTGTTCCGAATATGGTGGACGTGCCGCCAGCCTTCGTCGACGAGCACCGCGCCCTGCCTCTCACGTGAGACGGCCACGAGGCGATCGGTCGGTTCTAACTTCACGTTAACTTCAACCACGGTTCTCGGGGCCAAGATCAGGGAAATCGGTGATGGATCACGTTGCTTCGATCGAGGAAGCAACGTGAGGTGGGGTAAGAGGGATGGAGAGGAGGCAAGTCGAACTCGATGTAAGTTTTTTAAGGATGTAAAGATTTTTGATAAAAAAAAAAAAGATTGTGCTCGCGAGATGGACGATCGGGAATTATTTGAATTAGGAAGTTTTAAGATTCGATGGGTTGTTTCAAGTTGTTTCAATATCATTGGAAATGGATTTCAAGAGAATTATCATATTATTGTGAAAAGAGGAAATGTGTCTCTCTTTTTCAGAGAGAATTTTTCACGATGAAATATATAAAAGATTGTAAAGATTGCGACTGACAATGGGAATTAGGAAACGATAGATTCAGTTGATAGATTAAACGTGAAAGACAATTGCTTAACTTTCACTTTGTACTCATGATTAATAATAGGTAACTGTTAATGTCATAACGTTTAAGTATCGAAACTTTATAACACCTTAAAAATGCATAAATGGTATACACATGGAATAAAAAGTAGATTTTTTTTTTAATTTTTCAATTCACATTTTCTTTCTTGAATTTGTTTATTTAAAAATTTATTAGTTTATTTTTTTTTAAATTTTATTAAAAATTGATATATTACGAGGCAGCTTGTTGATTTGTTATTAGGAATGTTATTAGGAATGAAAATTTTTTTTATTAGTTAAAGTATATTTCCATGATTTTATTTAAACCAATAATAATCAATAAAGATTTTTAAATTATCATCTATTAATATTATATTATCTCGTGAGCTTGTATTGACTCTTGACCGAGCAAAAAATTAATTAAAATTCGAAAAAAATACAATAACGATGTTGACCAGTTGCTATGACATCATTATATCTATTATTGTAGATAATTAATCTGTGTAATATGATTTACTGGTCCTTGAATATTAAAAAAAAAAGAAAAAAAAATGTGAAGAAAAATCATAATATCGACAATTATAATTCACAATGAACTAAAAAACATACGATGTTAATTGACGTTTACTTACATAAATAAGTGATATATAAGTCTGTGATATGTAGTAGTTCATCTCATAAAAAACACACACAAAAAACACTGATCATTCGTTTTAATGTTCTTAAAAATATTCAATTCAAAAACTATCTAGAAAAAAATATAACAATACATCGATTGAAATTCATTTATCGAATTTTCGAGATTTAACGAATTTAATTTTATGTTAGAAATGCTTGTAAACAGCCCCCTATGACCAAACCACGTTTACATCAAGTCGATTAAATTTCAATCGAACAAAGTAAAATTTCGATCGTTTACGAGTCAAAGTTGTTTCGAACGAGAAAAGTTATGCAGATCACCAGTTTTCATTAATGGATTTATACCAACAATCTATCACTTCCATTTCATTACCATCTAATAAAAATATCATCATCGCACGACTTATAAATAAATACGTATTATTTCGTGAATCAAACGAACGAACGTACAACTATTAACATAACCTTATAACAATGCGCGATTGATCGATCGTTTCACTAGAAGAATGAAAGAAAAGAAAGGAACGTATATCGGATGAGAGAGCGGGAAAGAGAATCGTAAATGCTACCGCGAGCGAGGATACGAAGAACAGATGGCGTTCGTGTATCGTCACGGTTATAATAATAATGTAAATTCGATCGTAGCTCCGTGCCAAAGATGGGAGACTGGAATGTAAATAGCGCTGAAAGGACGTGTTTGTCGTAGTTAACCAAAGAGCGTGGTTTCGCCGATTAGAAGCGGATGCGAGTAAGGTAATCTTCATGTGTTAAGAAACAAGAGGCGTGACGCGATAAATTCAGCTTTCTAGGCGGCCTGCACGGGACGAAGCGAGACTTTCGTCGGCTTTCGATTTTGCAATGCATTTCGTGCGCACCTAGATGAGAACAGAGAATGAGAACGAAAAAAGAATCGAAAGATTCTTCTTTGAGAGAGGAAAAAGAGAGAAAGAGAGAGAAAGAGAAAAAAGAAGAAAAAGGAATAAATAGAAACGGGAGAGTCCCGTATAATTATACGATTATCATGATTATTTTTTAATCGTAATCTTATTTAATAACGCCTAACGAAATCTAGTCTTATTTATACTCTTTGTTAAATCAAAATCCGTGTTTTTTTTCTTTTTTATTATTATTATTATTATACGCACAGCGATTTATTTATGTATGTATATAATTCTACACAATTTGTGTCGGCGCGTGGCGTACATCGGAATGCAATGAATGGAGAGAAATGTGTGGACTGTTGGCGAGAATAAAATTGAAATTGCGTGGCGATGGCTAGGTGACGTTCGATGAATTTAAGGAATGTTGGAATTGGGAAACGATCCGTACCTGAGGCTTATGGCGCTCTCCTTCGATTTTTCACTTTCGAATCGTCCTTTATTCGAGAGTTTTGTAAATGGTTCAGGTTTTAGAGACGCGCACGCGCCGACGAGTCTCCATTGTTGGAGGAGAAATTGCGCTCAAAATGGCGACGATTAACGGTGGAACGAGGAAATGTGCAACAGGAACCGTCCTATAATCTGTAATCGTTATTATCCTGTGCAGCGACACGTTAAACCATTTTGTACGTATTGCCAATTGTAAAGAGATCAATTCTTATAGTCTGTAATAATAAAAAGTAATTGTTACTTATAACGTTATTCTTGTTGATTTTTTGATAGATATATCGAATCGATGTACGATTACGATTTTTTGCTGCAATTCATTCGACTAATAAATTACTCTTGAAGAATAAGATTCACACGCAACTCAAGCTACGATCTGAAAAAAAATAATGGAACATCGAAGAACAACTTTTCATTTGTCTTCCGATACGTGACAACGAGAAAGAAATTAACGTTGTACTTGTTATGTACTTGTGCAATGACTGTCGAAAAATCTTATTTCTTCCAAACATCACGTTGACGTATGAAAAACTCGTGCAACAAAGTACCAATTACGGATCCACTTGTATCGCAAAACGAGGTTTTAACACGTTTTACAATGATTATAACACGCGTGCATGACAATTGTCAAAAGTAATCCCCGAAAGAAATTTAATTAAACCTTTCCCGATATGTTTCATTGATGCACCAGCCAAGGATCCATGTGCATCACACACGACACACCACTACGCGGCTTGGAAGGCCAGGTAAGTACGCATTCGTGTGTCTACACGCACAAAGGGAATAAGGATGCGTGTGCACGCACTGGTTGGTCTCAGCTCGTCGATGCGTACAGCCAGCCATTCATGCATACGCCCATTCATACGTCTCTCTGGCTCACCTTGAACACTTTTTGTCGTCGGTCGATGTGGACGTGGCTGCGCGCTTCGCCACTCAAACCGTGCACCTTACTATGTATTCTCCTCTTTCAGAGAGGGTGCTGTTTCGAAGTTGAGAAATTATGGATGAAGGATTCGAGAGAAATTTGACGTAAAAAGAAAGAGAGATGGAGAAGATGAGGGAAATCAACGAAGAATGGTAATTTTGAAGTTTTTCTTAATTATTGTCAAATATTTTTTTAAGTGTAACATTATGTTACCACTTAATTACTTAGAATTTTTTACATCTTTACAATCAATTTTTAATATTTTATATCTTATGCGTGTTATTGTACTTTGAATCAAGTATTCAAACTCTTCGAATATCTTTCGTTCAATGTATTAGAAACTATCAACTAACTATTTTTTTCGTACTTTTTTTTTTTTTCAGAACAAATGCTATTATATCCTCGATTTCTTATTGAACGTTTTTTACGATATGATTTAATTCTCCTCGCGCGAATTCCACCACGTTTAGTTCAGAAAGGAAGAAGAGAGATAAGAAAATTTGACGCGTTGAATTGTTGAAAGAGGGAAGGCGTCGTCGTCGGCGTCGTCGTCGAGGTTGGCGCGCACAATGACTGCAGGTTTCCTAATACGGCCTCGTCGCCAAGCTGGATGAAAAAAAGAGGAATTTTGGCCACCATCGGGGGCCTGGGAAGGAACGTCCCGCGTTAGATCCTGCCGGCACAGAAATTTAATAATCGACCGCTGCCCGCTTCGAAATCCTTCTCTTCCTCTTGCTACGTATTTCACTATGTATCATTATTTCGAGAGTTAATGCCTCTGTAACTTTGATCACTTGTAAAAATATAATTAAATTGCAGATTTTTCTATATCAAAGATTGTTTGAAGAAGTTGGATTATTAGAAAATGTTACAAAAGAGTTAATTATTAATTATATAAAATTTATAAAGTTAATCCTTTTGTTAATTTTGATTATTTTTTTTAATTTTTTAAAGAAATAGATAATTGGATTGCAAATCATAAATTATCATAATGAAAATTGATGTAATTTTTATTGCCTGTAAGAATAACAGATTGTAACTTTTCATTATAGTCTTAAATATCAGAAACTAATATTGAAGATTTATGATTTCTTACAAGAAAAAATGAAAAAACTTGCAACTAATGTGATCAAGATACGCTATAATCCAAATTTCACACTTCTTTTACCATCAATACAATACAAATTTTATGCAAATTTGTAATTCAGTCTAATTCATTCATTCATTCTTAACAAAGACAAGCTTCTTCAAATAATCTTAAAACGTTTTCAAAGTTTTGTAAATAAGATAACGATGCCCAGAAACGTCGAACCACCAAATAAACCACCATCCTTCCATCCTTCTCCTTCTTTCACCCCCTTTCAATCACCTTCACCTTCCCCAAAACCGGAACCGGACAAATTACACTCGTCCTCGATCCTTTCAACATTCGAAGACAAAGAGACGAGTCCCTCCTCCTTCTCTTTGTGTTTCCACGTGTTCTCCTCGCCAACTCCCTTATACGGTAGAAAGATAAGGAGTTCGCGCGCCCAGTAAATCGGCGATTTAAGGTGCGTCCGAGGCGCGGAGGAGATAGCGAGAATCGCGTGGAGCGTGAAGCGTGAACCGAGCGAGCAGGATCGGATAGAGCGTGGCCGGTTCGAAGGAAGACAGGTATTCGCAGTCCACGGACAGGTTCGTTCGCGAAAAACTTCAATTTGTCTCGCACGCTCCCCCGTCCGCGCAGGGATATCTCTTCGATGGATAATACGCGCGCGCCAGGAAGGGAAATCGAGTAGGATAATGTTGGATATTCTTTGGAATATGCTATTTCTTTTTGGAGGGAAATTGAAATTTGAAAAGGAACAAGGATTTTAATGAAGTTGATAAGGAATTGTGAATTTTTTTTTAAATGTTTTTAGATTTAATGTAATTTAATTTGAAAAATGCATGCAAAAGAGATTTGTAAAAAACAAGTCGGAATTGTAAATGTTTCGAGATTTTTTTTTTAGTCTTTAAAAGTTTTGAGATTCATGAAAGAGGATTGGAATTGGGAATGTTTTAGAAAATTTTTTTCAAATTTCAAAAGTTTTGAAATTGAGTTCTTGAAATTCTAGAATTATTGTTAAATAAAATCTATTGGAAGAAATCAATTTGGATCATTTTAGTATTTAGGAAAAAATTTTAGGAAAAAAGAATTATTGTATGTTATTAATATATATACAAAAATTAGATCGATGCAAGTATTAGCTGTGATAAAAAAAATAACAGACAACGATAGAAAAACAAAGATAATTACCGTACAATTCAAAGAATCGAAAGAAGAATAATCAAGTTACCGTTCGATTCAACATCACGACTCAATTCCAAATAATTTTCCTGACCGCTGTTCAAATTTCGCGCCATAAATCTTCCTTATCGCTCCCGCTCTGCCCCTCCTCTCCCAAGCAACGATAATTAAACAGTACCGGTCAATATCCCAAAAGACACTCTCCTTGCCATTTCGCGGCACAGGAACACGTTCCTTTTTACGCGATATCGACGCGTTCCCCGCAATTATATCCGTCTGAATGGCGGCCGTGTGCTCGCCATCAGGCGTAGGCGGAGCCAACCGATTTTAAACAACTGGCTGTACGCATTAATTAAAGCCAGGAGTCTGTGTACTCCCTTGACTCCATACAAGGTGGCCGGTCTTAATTTGGCATTGGCGAAATAGTAACGCCGGTACTGCTTAACACCAGCCCATTGTCCTGTCCACCTTAACGCAGCCAGGATCCAATAATTAATTAACTGTATTTCATCGAACGCTTCCATTTACCGCGTGTGTATACCAACCACGGTATACATCCATCCAACGTGGAATTATTATCGCGTAAATCGTGGAACGCGTGCTTCCTTTTAAGCGTCTCTGCTCGAAATCGAAATGCTTATTATAAGAGGACTCTTGGGTTCATTTCTTATTAAGGGTTGGTAAACGGTGGTTTCTGATTTATCGACTCATTTCGTGACCGCGATTGCCGTTACTTCGCCGATTGCTTATTTACGAGATTTTATCGAGATTTTGCGTGAGTAGTTATCTTGGTGTCAGTGAGATTCTTCGATACGGATCAAGAATGTTCCTTTTTGGAAAAGTTAATAGTTCAGGTTGGAAGTTTCGATCAATCTTAAACAACTTGTTTCAACTCGATATTCCCCTTTACCTAACCTCAACTAATAAAAGAAAAAAAAGAATACTTTCATCTCTCGAACGACTCAATCAACCGCGAACTCTTCAAGAATTCCACCAATCGAAATCAACCGAAAGGATCTCAAACGAAACATAACCTCTTACATAAGCTCCCTGTTCTCCCTCCACTATCCATTCCACAGTGAAGCATGATACCAGTCCGATAATTCCATCCGATTAAGATGCACCTTGTCGAGACGTGCTCGCGCAATTCACGTAATTCGCGCAATTAACCCCTTAGAGCCGCATTCCCGCCCGTTCCTCGGCATCCGGCCCCCTCGTTCGTTCATCGAGGTTTCGCTGTGAAAACGGGTTCATTCATGAACCACGACTGTGGTTCGGCAAAAAGCTCCATCTTCCCTCTTTTCCCCGCTCATCCTCCTCACAGTCCCACCTCTTGTTCGTCGCTTTGCTCGTCTCGTCGAGTTGAGAGAGAAAGAGAGAGAAGGGTGCACGTAGAAAACTGGTATCGGCACAATGCCATCGGAATACGCTATCTCAGCCGCTATTTCAGCTCGAGAGGAGCGGGTAGAGCAAGAAACAGACGCCACCGGAAATCATCATTCTAACCGGGTACGTTTAATCGAAGGGAAAACCGGAATACGCCGCGGGCTGACTGACAACAGGATCAACCTGCTCTGTGGACGTATCGAAGCCAGGATTCCATTCCGGCTCGATTTTTCTATACCGACACGGCGACCAAGTATCCCCACTCCTCCACGATCGACTCTTTTCTTCTACCACTGATTAATTACACGTATTGTTAGACGAGCGTTCTTCTTCTCGATCGTGTAAATGTGGCGCCGTTCTAATCGAATAGGAAACGATTTCTTTTTTCTTTTAATATTCTCTCTCTTTCTTTTCTCCATTTGATGAATTTTGGATTAATCAATTATTATTAATGGAACAGTTTGATAATTGTACTTAACACATATAAAGTATAGAGATTTCTATTTATTTTTTAAATAAATATTTTATAAATTTTATTTTATTTACATTTTTCTGTTGTTGCTCTCTTTATATAATTGGATAGTATATAATTCTATTAGAAATGTTTATGTCTAATCACGTAAGTGTGAAATATTTCGAACGTTATGATATAGGAAACGTTGGTAACACTGATATATACCGGTCCTATTTGCGCTACGAACGTCAGAGTGCATTGCAAAGTCCATATCCCTAAGTTTCGAGGATACGACACGAGGATATCGTGGCCGGCACGTACACCAGCTGGTCCAACTTCTTGTCCAGCGTCGACAGCTGCAACGAAAACGAAAAATCGGAATTGGAATCAGTGAGAGCAAGAACCCCTGACTTCTGGAGGGGATATGTCCGTGGATCATTCGAAGAGGAAGAGTGCAAGAGAGAAAGAGAGAGAAAGAAATGCAAGACGATGGAACCGGATACAACGAAACGCTTTTGACACGAGACACGCTCTGTATATCATCCATTCCCGAATGTTTCTTGCTAAAAAAAGATTTTACGAACGTTTCAAAGAAGGATTCTAAAGAAAAATGTTAATTATAAATTCATTGTCATCATTAATTAAAATCTTACAGACAAATTTCATGCCTCATATTTTTCTATCATAATTTTATTATTTTCTAATATAGATTAATTAAGATGTCATTTAAGAGTATGTGAGAAAATTTTCAACAGATGATATAATAACTTAATATATTTGCAACATTTTTTCATGTATTGATTTTCTTTTCTTCTTTATTACGAAGATTTTATTAAACATTTTAAATCATTTAGTTACAATTAGATATAAAATTCGAATTATAAAAATGATGTGTAAGCTGTAATTACAACATATAAAAATTAGATTGAATAGATCCTATTAAGTTTTTTAATTAACAGATTAAATAAAGAAGATAATAAGATTAATCGGATATCGCGGATGCTCTTAAACGCATAAATTTT